GGCTTGGATATGGCTGGCTGACGACGGCTAATAAGCCAGAAATGGCCATTCCAGTCTCCCTTGTCTTTGTCGGTAATACCATTCTGCCTATATATATATATATATATATATATATATATATATATATAAATGGAAGGGTTTTTTCTGTGTTGTAACTAATCGCCGAAAATACTGCAGCGATTGCGCTGAAATTTAGACACAACCCAGTCAGCGCATAGGGCCGGGTTTTTGTCTGTTCCGTTTTGTAATTATGCCGATGGTGTGCCTGTGGTGGGTAAAAAACCGGATTTTTTCCGCCATAACAACGCCACCTGCTGCGTCCACTTGACCTACATCTCGTGCGGACACATGTGCGCCCTGACTGCGGCCACTTGACCGACATTCGCTCAAACGCACGTGCTCTGCCCGACAGCCGCGCTCACCCCATCACCCACCCTGCAGGCACTTGAGCAGGCCCTCCGCGCTCTCTGGGCCGACGCAATATGGGCCGCCAGAGCATACCACCCCTGGGGCAAAAAAAACGCGCAACAGTTGGCGCCACTTGAACTTGCCCCACACTATCCACATAATTGGGCCGTCACCGCTGCCTCGGGGATTCTCTGGGGTGAAGACTGGATGCAATTAACACCAGACCCTCCTCCCCCCGTACAACCCACATAATGGGGCTTTAGCCCAATGTCAGCCCAGTATTGTGCAGCTCGGCTTGCGGAAGCCCGATTACGGTCACGGCTACCGCGTTCTGCAGCTTCAGGCCTGCTTCGTTCAGCAACAGGATGAACACAGCCAGCTGGGAGTGGCCGACTGGCGCCAGTGAGGAACAGCATACCAGCGTCAAACACGACTTCGTGCTCAGCATTCACACTGCGCTCTGAAGAACACATTCATTTGCGTGGTACTGTTGTAAACGACGGTACGACAACAACCGTTGGAAGACTAACGATTTTGCCGTCCACATATACCGGCAGTCGTAGACCGATTTCAACGCAGTATCCGTTTACTGTTCGGGATGGTACCGATGGATATCACTTCAACGTTAGGATGATAAATCCAGTCAGTGACGAGGTAATGCACATGAAATGCAGCGCAATGAACCAATACTCCTACCCACTAATGATTAAACAGAATGTAAGTAATCCTCCTTTTGAAATGCCGTCAACTGTTTCACCACTGCATTGCGGATATGTATGCAAAAAACGAAACAGAATGCCTGCTTTTCATTCGCTTGAACCAGACCAAGCTGCTCTCTGAAGGATACATTCCTTTGCATGGTGCAGTTGTAAACGACGGTAATACAGATGACAGTTCGAACATCGATTTCGATGTTGTCCACCGTGTGCCCCACAGCAGGTTGGAGCAGGGACGGTGACTTGCGCATGGGTTTATAGTGCCAGTAGACTTTCGCTGCATCTACCTACACTCTCTCCACCTCCCTCGCCCGAGCCCGGTGTCAAGACAGAGCCAAGAAGACCGGAGACGAGGGAGGCCGCAGGTGGATGGCTCGGACGGATCCTCACCTTAGCGTCCCACCACACCCCCTGGTCCACACAACAGTAACCAGAATTTCAACCAACATAACAGAGATTTGGAGGCTGGCACGGCCGAAGCCGCACCTAGGCGTGCCGCCAACGCCTGGCTCGGATCCCACACTGTGGTGGGAGTGCCATAAAGGCCACATTAAAAAGGAGCCATTGCAGCCTGACTCTCAGACCGCCTCCCGTTAAGGAGGAGGTCCAAGGTACCCCGTCAGTTGGCAACCTTCCAAGCCACGGCTTTTAGCGCACCGTGATAGCTTCAAGCGCGTCAGATTGATTATAGTGAGGAAAAAGTGCGCTGAGTCGTCGACCTCACTCTCCCTTCCCATTCCCACACTCCAGCCGCCGTCCGAGCCGGTCGGCAAACTGGAGTGGTGGATGGGCGCGGTGGCTGCCACGGTCGACTGACCGTGACTGCGCGCGCCACAGCACGACCTGGTCCCCCATACACACACAAACACCAGGATTTCACACAACGGGGGTTGAACGGCGTGTCTCTCACTTGCGTGAGAGGGCCGTGGAAGGTGCTGCTTCAGCCCGTTCCCAGCCCACCAGTCTGCCACTCCACACAGCACACACACACACACACACACACACACACACACACACACACACACACACACAACGCGACGAACTGCGTGAACCGAGAGCGGGCATCAATCAGCAACCTTCCTATCCACGACACTTGAAGTGTCGGGATAGTCTCGGACTCAAATCACCCGTACAGCCGAAGCCGCGTGGGAACCGAAACGAGATGCACACTTCCCACTTGCGTGGAAGGTGGCAGTTGGTGCATGCGGTGGGGAAGTTTTGATGTGTGTTGGTGATGGTGGAGGAGGGTAGGGAGTGTGTGGATGTGTGGTGTAACCGGCGGTTGTCTACCGCAGGTCGTCGTGGATGCGCATGTGGCCGAATAGGCCGATGCGGTGCCTGAAAGTGCGAGGACAGTGTGGACAGTTGAGACGAGCTTGGTGGGTGTAGGTTGGTGCTCCAGGCACTGGTTCTCCGGTCTCTGTGCGATGGATTCGCAAGTAACTGACCAGGCCGATGTGTGAGGTGAAGGTGCGGTCGCAGTGAGGACAGGTGTAGTCCTGATTCTCATTGCTGGAGTCAGGAGAGGCGGGGGTGGTGCCGGTTGTTGTGTCGCGGTCGGAGATGTGCGAGACGGCTGCCTGAGCGGCCGCCGTTGGGGCAGTGGTGGTGGTGGTGGTGGAGGAGGAGGAGGAGGAGGAGGAGGAGGAGGAGGATGGAAGTGGTGGTGCAGAAGAATTGTCAGAGTTATTCGGCGGCAGAGAGGACGAGGATGACGCGGGCGGGGGGATGAAGTTTGGTGCAGTTCGAGAGGTACAGTTGATCCGAAGATGTGCAACAAGGCCGATTCGAGCCCGGAATGTCCGCTTACATCGAGGACACGTTGGAAGCAATTGTGCGACAGCGTTGCTGACTGGGCGCAGTTGTGATTTGCGGGCTTCGCGTTTCGCTTTGGCGGCGGCGATGCGGTTGGCTTCGTGGATAGCAGCGCCCATCTTCACTGTTCTCCTCCATGCCGGACGATCGCAGGCGAGCTCTTCCCAGTTGGTCGGGTTGATTTGCAGTAGCTTCAGGGAGGACTTCAGGGTATCCTTGTATCGACGAATTGGGCCTCCTTGACGACGAGAACCCGTCGCGACGTCTCCGTAGAAGAGTCGTTTGGGTAGCCGCTCGTCGTCCATGCGCACCAGGTGGCCGCTCCAGCGCAGCTGCATTTGTCTCAACATGGAGTAGATGCTGAGGATTCCCGTTCGTTCCAGCACATCAGTGTCGGGGATGCGATCCTGACAGTTCAGCCGCAGGATGCGACGAAGACAACTGAGGTGGAAGTGGTTCAGACGGCGTGCCTGCCTCGTGTACACCGTCCAGGTCTCCGCTCCGTACAGTAGCGTCGGCAGGATAACGGCCTTGTACATCTTCAGCTTCGTGTTCAGTTGAAGACCGTGACGATTCCAAACTGTGCTTTGGAGACGACCGAAGGCTTGACTGGCTTTCGAGATCCTGTTGGCGACTTCGTCATCAATTTTGGTGGTGCGGGAGAGAGTGCTGCCCAGGTACGGGAAGTTCTCCACCACTTGCAGTAGGGTCCCATTCACGCTGATTTGCGGCGACGCGTTGGGGGCTGTGGCTGAGTTGGGTGGCGGTTGGTGCATCACCACCGTCTTCTGCGTGTTAATGACAAGACCGAAGTTCTCGCAGGCGGCGGAGAATAGGTCCATGCTCCGTTGCATCTCCTCTTCTGAGGTGGTGTTCAGGGCGCAGTCGTCGGCGAAGAGGAGTTCGTGAACGGTGGTTGTGGATACGCGTGATTGGAAGTGCATCCGCCGTTGATTCAGCAGGTGACCGTCCGTCCTGTAGGCGATGCGAATCCCGGGACGTTCGTTGCGGTAGGCGTCCATCAGCATGGCAGAGAACATAAGACTGAAGAGGGTTGGTGCCAGCACGCATCCCTGTTTCACTCCGTTAGTCACTGCGAATGCCTCTGAGACAGCTCCGTTGTCCGTGACTCGCGCCATCATACCGTCGTGCAGCTGACGCACCATCTGAGTGAATCGCTCTGGACAGCCGAATTTCTGCATGATCTTCCACAGTCCTTCACGATTCACCGTGTCGAAGGCTTTCGTCAGGTCCACGAAGGTAGAGTACAGGTGGGTCCGCATCGCCTGACACTTCTCCTGAAGTTGGCGGGCGGCGAAGATCATATCCGTGGTCCCACGATGACGACGGAAGCCGCACTGGCTTTCCGGCAGAAGGCCCTGTTCCAGGTGGTTATTGAGGCGGTTGAGAAGGATGCGAGCGAAGATCTTCCCGGCGATGTTCAGCAAGGAGATGCCACGGTGATTGTCGCAGATTTGGCGATTCCCTTTTCGCTTGTATTGGTGCACGATTGTTGCGTCCTTGAAATCTTGCGGAACTTCACCTTGACGCCACATCTCCTGGAAGAGCGCAGTCAGGTGATCCATCAGTTGGGGACCTCCGTGCTTGTAGACCTCAGCAGGGTTTGCGTCCGATCCGGGTGCTTTCCCGCTGGAGAGCTGCTGCACGGCCCTGATGGTTTCCTGGAGAGATGGCGGGAGGTCGAGGTCCGCGTTGGTCTCCACTTGCGGCAAACGCGCGATGGCGGCGTCGGAGATGGCGGAAGGGCGGTTTAGGACGCCTCGGAAATGCTCGGCCCATCGCTGAAGGATTTGCGTCTTCTCAGTCAGGAGAGTACTGCCGTCGGCGCTGAGGAGAGGAGCAGTGCCCTTTGTCGGCGGACCGTAGACAGCTTTGATCGCAGAGAAGAAGTTCTTCCATTCGTTGCGGTCCGCGTAGCCTTGGATCTCCTCAGCTTTGCGAGCAGTCCAGGCGTCCTGCATCTCGCGCAGTCGCTGCTGGAGGTGGCGGCGACTGCGGTAGAAAGCAGCTTTGTTGTCGTCAGTGGGGTGATCGACGTAGGCTTTGTGTAGGCGGTTCTTCTCAGCAAGCAGATTTCTGATGGCGGCGTCGTTGTCGTCGAACCAGTCCTGGTGTTGGCGGGGAGCGCGACCGAGGACGGTGAGCGCCGTCGCCTGGACCGTGTCTCGCAGTTGACACCAGCGGTTCTCCACGGAGGCGTTTTCGGCAGCGGCGGCATCGGCGATGGGGAGGTTGTCTAGCCGTTGAGCTAGCTCATTGCTGAAATGGAGATGGTGAGCGGGCAAGGACAATAAGGCAACATTCAGCTTACCTGGGCGTCGCTTACCTTGAGGTCTCCTGCGAGGCTGTAGGCGAATACGCATCTTCGAAATGACGAGGCGATGGTCGGTCCACCCATCAGCACCCGCGATCGCCTTCGTCACCAGCACGTCCCGCTGGTCACGCCTTCGGACGAGGACATAGTCCAGCAGGTGCCACTGACGCGACCGAGGATGCCTCCAGGTGGCCTTCTCTCGCTCCGGCAGACAGAAGAACGTGTTTGTCAGGATAAGGCGGTGTTCTGCGCAGGTGCGGAGCAGCAGCAGACCATTGTCGTTTGAGCCGCGGAGACCGTGGGGACCCAGCACTCCTCTCCAGGCAGTATGGTCTGTGCCGACGCGGGCGTTGAAGTCGCCAAGGACAACCAACTTGTCCGCCATCGGCACAGTCGCCAAGAGGGCGTGCAGGTCCTCGTAGAATTTGTCTCTGACGGCGTCGGGGTTGGTCATGGTCGAAGCGTAGGCGCTGATGATGGTGGCGAATTGCCCCCCCCCCGCCGGAGAGGCAGGCGGAGGCTCATCAGACGATCGTTGATGCCCTGCAGCAAACAGGGCAGTCGTCCCACGATGTCGTTCCGAATGGCGAAGGCGACACCCGCGTCCCGTCGCTCTGCCCTGGGTCGACCGCTCCAGAAGAAGGTGTAGCCGGCACCCACTTCCTCCAGTTGGCCTTGTTCGGAGAAACGGGTCTCGCTGAGTGCGGCGATGTCCACCTTGTAGTGCGCCTGTTCTCGTGCCACTAACGCTGTCCTCCTTTCCGGTCGGTTGCTCCGCGGATTGTCTAAAAGGGAACGAACATTCCGGGCTGCCAGAGTGAGCGGACTCACCCTGCCAGTCTGGTGACGATGAGTGGGGCGACGGGAGGGAGATGGAGAAGAAGGTGACGAAGGAGAAGAATAGGCAGAGGAAGAGGTAGAAGAGGTAGGATGAGGAGAATGAGTATGGTTGTTGTTGTTATTGGTATTGTTGTTGTTTCGATTTTGATTGTTTCGACCATGATTAGACGTCTGCGGCCCTGGCTAGCCTGGAGATGGCGTGGTACCCAGCAATGTTTAGGCCACCTTTTCTTGGCCCTTCCCCTCATGGGGGCAGGCAGTGCCGCCCCTGAATCGGGCTGCCCATGTGCCTGGTTGGCGCGACCGATCCCACTATGGGGCCACGACTTTTATGTTCGTAGTGGAGAACGACCGCATATGCCGTGAGTCCGCGGTCTCCGTCGGCGAGGGTGGGCGCGTCTCAGCGAAGGCGATGCGGAGACCCGTCCCAGCAGCAGTTATCCAACGGCGTACCAGGCAGAGCCTCGTCTCGACGATGCCGGCGCTGTGTTTCATCCGACCATCCATCCAGCGGAGTCCGCAGTACACTGTGCACGCGGCACAAGCGCACAGCGCCCTCACCTGGTTTAGCCCGCCGGTCGAGACGGTTGCCCGGGGTGTGGCCGCTGAGCAGAGCCCAGCTACGTGGAGCCACAGGTGAGAGTTGGGGGCCAGCAAATGGACGCTAGGCGTAGTCTCACCTGCAAGCAAGTGAGCGACCACTACGACCATCACGTGAACCCACCGCTGACACCCCCTACACCCCGGTAATACAGATAACGTTGTAAGACTAACGCTTTTGTCTTCCACATGCACAGACAGATCACGTCATATGCTCGAGTACGCTCGCGGTGCAATTGCTTATGTTTGTCAGTACGGGAGTCCAGACCTACTCATTACAGTCACATTCAATCCAGCTTGGGGGATGTTTATCATCTCTTACCTCCTGGGCTATCGACAGTAAATAGGTATGACATCACAGCACGTGTTTTCAGGCAGAAACTGCGATCGCTGATGAACTTCATGGTGAAACACGAAGTGTTTGGGTCTGTGCGCTGCCGGATGTATTAGGGGGAAAGGCAAAAGAGGGGACTGTCCCACGAACACGTTTGGATCACCTCCAACGAAGTCGACGACACAATATGCGCCGAATCACCTGATATCGACGTCGACAATGAGTTGCATGAAGTTGTGGCGAAGAATATGATACATGGACCTTGGATGCACTGAATCCCAATTCTCCAACCCCCCCTCCCCCGGCATGATAGAGGGAAGTCCCTTATACCGAAACTGATCAGCGGAAGACATCGGCAAATTGGCAACCGTGCGAATGAGAATCGGTGACATAGAAGTCGGTAACCGCTGGGTTGTTTCGCATTCGCCTTCGTTTTAAAAGCAAACGCAGCTCCCATAAACGTGGAACACTGCAATTTTGGGAAATGAGTTAGGTACATTTGTAAGTACGTGAATAAAGGCAGCGATATGGCCGTTTTCGGCCTGCAACACGAAAGGAGGGAAAGGGATGCGGACATACAACACAATTAAATAGCACACTATTGGGCTGGAAGATGTGTCAACGGCAAGAAATCCATGTGGCAAATTCTTTCATTCCCCATCCATAAGCGGAGTCCAGGTGTTGTTCGCTTGCAGTACAGTTAGGGAATGGGCAACGCGTTTACTTTACCGATGCAAACGCGCAACAGGTTGCCTTAGGTCCACTGGCAACAGCATTAACTGCGTTCTCAACGTTAAGCCAAACTGACGCGTTTGTGAAAACACTGCCGCATTCGAAAGTGCCTACGTATTACACAGGAAATGTGTGTAGAAAATCATCCGAACAACGCAAACGAGGAGTGAGAGTGGACGGACACCCCGACATACTCAAGGGAACTGCGATGAGCAGACTGCACACCGTGCATCCCAATCTTACTTCGCATAATGTTGATGAATTTGCCACGTCCAACCTCTTTCCAGCAATTGAAATCTGTCAATGACGTTACGCATGCCACTTTCAGCAGTGCGTGTCAGGCTCTTCAGTTACTGGAGAACGATCAACAGTGGGACGTACAGTAGATGTGCTAACTCATGAAATGTCAACCAAAATTTCGAAATGCGTTCTCGTTTCGAAAAGATAAATTAAGTAGTCTTGTATAACTAATCATGATGCAGAATAAATCTATAATGATCCAGTTACCTCAGGGTGTCGGCTTTCGAAAGCGCTTATTTTCGGCTGCGTGCAAGATCTATACTCTGCAAAAAATGACTACTTATGTAGTATGCAATTTTCTCATCGATTTTCGATGCCATTGAAAATTCAATCCTAGTTCATGGAAAACATGCATAAAAATATTCATTCTTTTACTTATTCGGTAGAAAATCACGTCTTCTTCCAATTTCACACTCAAAAGAAGAGTACAATTCGGTTTAAAAAAGTTTCTAATTGTGAGATTTTTTAATACCGTTAAATGGCCGTTCATGAAACGTCATGTATCTGCATTTACGAATGTGGCTTGTAAAGTTAACAATATTGTTCAAATCCACTGCTTAATTTTATGAACCTCATATGGTCTCCTCTTAACACCGTAGAGAAATGCATGCGCACACCGATCCATTGGCTTCCCGAAGCGCAGTAAGCTGTTCGCCTCTGTGGAGAAGTTACATACTGTGGATTGAGAAGTTAGTCGAAGAGGGGCAATTAATAAAAGACTGTGGAGGAGATGGAAAATACAGCGTGGACAGAAGGGGAAAACTGAAATAGGTTCATGAAGGCTGCAGGGCCTGCGCAAATTATTTTGAGTTAGAAGGCAAGAGGGCTTCTTAACCGGGTTGTCGACGCATCTGGCGTTACTCCTAAGAAATGACATAACGAAAGAACAGTTATGCCTCTTTTCCAAAGTTATAGTCGACAACTGTAATGCATGCCCTTTAGTTTCTGAAAACAAACGTTTGTTTACCTAGCTGTCCTCTGTGAGATTGTTTTCTTTTTCTTTAACGTAAAATTAAGATGGCAGTTGATTAGAAGGTAGCGACCTTAAGCATCACAAAAGACACCTGTTAGAGCATTGAAAAGGACTCCTTTGCCTTATTGCAGGTGTCAGGTGCACGTATTTAACTCTTCATTCTGATGTATGGCGTCGGTACGCATTTGAAGATTGACAAACGTGCGTTTTGATTATTCATAATCAGTGAGAAAGTATGATGGGGGGAGGGGGGAGAGGCTTGAGGGTGTCTAAACACGTAGGACAAACGAGCAGGAATTATGATCTAGTTCTGCGTTTGTCCACTGTACGTCAACATGGTAGGATGACAGGCAGATGTTTTAGAATTCGCTGGCCAGCAATTCTCAAATAACAGAATGCAGCGAGGCGGCAGAAGAATCGCATCCTACACTGCTCTGAACGTCCAGTAAAACGATTTAGCGAAAGCGCCGGCGCCTGTAATTGGTTGGTTAGTAGCTTCGCCTCCTACATGCGTTGGACGCGGGGCAAATACGACAATCAGGACGCGGGATCGGGGGGGGGAGGTAGCTTTCGCGTTGCACGGAGGTCTATGATTAGGCAATGAGACCGCGCTAGCGAGGGAGCGTTAGCCAATACGATTGTCAGAAGGACATCGGAAAGGACACCACGGGACGGAGAAAATGTGGTAGAGATAACGAGATGCATCAACCGGCATATCGAGTTGGATGCCACGTACGGAAATCTGAACGAGAAATGGAAGAGGAATGGACCAATCAGATCAGAGTAACACACACGGCCGCCGCCTACCGGCGCACACGTCGAGCAAGTATCGATTTTATGTGCACTCGTGACGTTAACTGTTTCTTGCTCTCACATGTACTCTCCGTTTGCGTCTGACGACGATCTGGGGAACCAACATCGAAAATTTACGCAATAAAGCCTCTTGTCTCACAGAACCCATCTCATTGCAGCTTATATTACTTGGGATGCCTACCTTCCAATGCTTACGGTAGAAATAAAATACATCCAAGATCGCGAACATAACTGAGTGGAGTATGCACTCGCAAGCGGGGAAACTGGATCATCTCAGAATAAAGACGTTCATCCCCCCTGTCTAGGCTGTCGGCGTCCCTTGATTACAGGACCCGAAGGTCAGCGTTAAAACATTCTGCTATGATAGCTCGACAGTAATGACACGAGATCATATGTTTGACTGGAATTAGCACAACAAGTTAGTAAAGAAAAACAAAAGTGGGACCTAGTCAACGACTGGTATGCGCAAAGACGTTCGGGTTTCGCAAAGCCAAGAGGAGGAGGAGGGAGTAGAGAGATGATCGTGAAGGAGTAAACACGATCGTTGGAACAAGAGCTATATTCGCCTGACGTTTCGGATTCTCATTCGAATCCATCATCAGGGAAAACGGCAGGTACGTATCAGCTAGAGGGATGATTGTAAACACGAAGAGGAAGTGGCTGGAAGAGAGGAAGGTGAGAAGAATACTGAGGGAAGGTTCTAAACAGTAAAAAATGAACAATGAGAAGGAAACAAATATGGAGAACGTCCAGAAAGGGAAATAGAAGGCGGCGAGACACGATGCAGGGTTAAACAGGAAAAGGAAAAAGGATATAAAGATGCAGAGGCCTGATAAAGGCAAAACAGAAAACAAAACAATAAAGAAGAACAAACAGATGCTCAGGGTGGGGATAAAACCGAAGAAAAGACAACAGGGGCGGGCAAAAATCAGAAACATTAAAATGAGGAGAAGGACAAGCGAGGTACTATTGACGACGATAATGATAATGGCGAGAAGTAACAGGGGAAAACGGTAAGGGGCTGGACGTTTTCGTATAAGTGCACACCGTTCCATTGGTTTTCCCAAGCAAATTAACTGCGAATGAGTGCCAGAGATCAAAAGCAGGCTACTAGCGACCCGACATGCCGTCCACTCGGAACGTGTTTTCCTCGGCGAGCCAAATGATCGGCTCTGTGCTTCGGGTCCCAGCTAATGGTCAGGGTTATGATTGGCTGTACGAAGGCTGCCTTCCCAACGGCAACATTTTTGTCCGGTCCAATTTACGCCACTAACATTTATTCGTCTCTCTCCCCCCCCGACAGGTATCGGACGTGGTGGTGGAGCCCTATAACGCCACACTCGCCGGTCACATGCTGACAGAACTCTCCGACGAGACCTTTGTCATCGACAACGAGGCTCTCTACGACATCTGCTTCCGCACACTGAAACTCAATAACCCCACCTACGGTGACCTCAATCACCTCGTCAGTGCCACCATGTCCGGCGTGACAACCTGTCTACGTTTCCCCGGCCAGCTGAACGCAGATCTGCGCAAGCTGGGCACCAACCTTATCCCCTTCCCCCGACTGCACTTCTTTGTGCCCGGCTTCGCCCCACTGACCTCTCGTTTCTCCCAAGCGTATCGGGCCTACACGGTGCATGATCTCACCCAGCAGATGTTTGATGCCAAGAACCTCATGGCCGCCTGCGATCCACGCCACGGCAAGTACCTCACTGTGGCAGGCATGTTCCGGGGACGTCTGTCCATCAAGGAGGTGGATGAGGAGATGCTTAACGTGCAGAATAAGAATTCAGCCTACTTTGTGGAATGGATCCCCAACAACGTGAAGACGGCTGTCTGCGATATTCCCCCACGGGGCATGAAAATGGCGGTGACCTTTGTGGGAAACAACACAGCCATCCACGAGATCTTCCATCGCATCAGTGACCAGTATGAGGCCATGTATAAACGCAAGGCCTTCCTACACTGGTACACCGGCGAAGGTATGGATGAAATAGAATTCACCGAGGCGCAGTCCAATATGACCGATCTGATCAATGAGTATCAACAGTTTCAGGAGATGGAGGCCTAGGTGAGGATGGACGGGTGAAATTATTTGCAACCAGTTTCGGTTGGTCGGAAGAAGACAATTTCAAATGCTTCTGTTAACTTGATGTGATATTTGCTTTTAAAAAAAACCAGAATTGGCTTGCTGATTTGCCTGCACTTGATCTGTCTGTGAACCTGTAGTGCTGGTTTCGGTAATGGCCGATACGATGCCTCTCTGCACATTCGAAAGCGGTTCCAGCGAACTCCAGCCAGTGACCCTCCGGTTGTGGTCTTCATATGCCTAGTGCCAACGAAACACCCTGTCGAGTGAAGTTTTCGGGCTGCCAGTATCTTCGTGTTTACCCTGGAGAATGCTGAGTGAGGATAGGGTATGCGGTTGGAAAAGGCTTACTATCCGAAACTGCCTACTATATTTATCTAAGTAGGCGTTCTTTGGTAAAGTCTTTGGTGGGAAACCAGTCACGTCCTTCGGCGACGCTGGTAGCTGCACGGCACCGACGAAAGCAACGAGGCTCTAGCCATCACACCTCCGTACAATGCTCAATTTACGAAGCTAAGTGGGAAGGGTACCAGAGGAAGGTTTACTCTGCACAGAAGGGGTTCTCCGAAGTTCTAGAATGGTACGCGTTGGTTTTCAACATTACGCCAACCTCTGTTTGACCGACGGGCGTGCATACGCCTCAGAAGAGTCTGAGAAAACGATCATATCAGGGTTGGTTGATAGGCCGCGCGTAGTCGTCCTTGGGTAGCCGGGTTAAAGACCTTAACATTAACGTGAATATGCCAGCTTTGAAGGCTGTGATACAGAGCAAAAACCCATTACATGAAGACGGAACTTTAGAAGGGGGTACACGGATATCAGAAACGGCAGAGAAACGACGTTGTTGAGTGAACTAGTGCGGACTAAGTCACCTAAAAAATTAGTTTTCACACTTCATTCCTGACAGCCCTCCAGTCCCTGCCCTTCTTCCAAACGCTTTGACAGTCCAAGCAAGGAACCGATGGGAATGATTCTCGGTATACGCAGGGGTCAGGTCCCACTTCACAGCCGCGCCTGCGGTAGACCAGCGTCAGCCGCATGACATACGGGACGGGTGGTAATAGGCGGTTTAACACTAACCCCTAACCATAACCCTAGTCCCTAACTCTAACCCCAGCCCCTAACACTAACCCCTAATAGGCGCGGCTACGAAATAAGATCTTATCCACGCACTGATCGCTGGATAATAACCTTTACATTGCAGCAAACTAAGGAGTGCGCATCAGCCGAAGGTTATGTCATCCGTTGGCGAACTACCAAACAGGTGCAACACCCGGTTACGCATCTGTATACCAAGTCATCTTGATATTAGTAGAGACTAGAATAGATTACACAGGAAAAGACACAGTCTACGGCGGCATGGCTGATAAGTGCCTTACTGCCTGGCTTTTTAAGTCCCTACGACGTGCTAGAGGGGACCTCGAATAAACAAAACCGGCCCTCACAAATGGGAGCGACCCACGAGAAGAACGTCGCTCATCTCTGACAAACTTGCCGACAGACTAGAGTTCGCCATAGGCAGCCTCGCTCTGTCGGTGTTGAGGCGAAGACAGCAAAAACTGTGCCATCGACCTAGCACCTTAATGCCACCTCAACTGACAGAGGCAGACGACATCTCCGTAGTAACACGTCAACGCCGGCATGACAAGATCCCGCGTCGATGGTTTAAGAGTTCCTTTCGGAAGAAATCACTCTGCATACCTGATATCCCACCCATCGACGAATGCCCGGACGCGTCTGTTCCTACAGCAGGATTCGGGATTAATGATGTGGTAACATGGCTATGATGGAGAGCAAAGGTTTTGGTACAAGTAAGGTGGTGGTTTGCGGATGCCACATAACTGTGCACGTATTGACTGCCCACGTGTTCCACAAGTAAGTCCAACCGGTAAAGGCCACGTCCACTAGACGGCTAGCAGCCCTGGCTAAGGGGTTGCGAGTTTAGCCTAAAAGGGCCTTCAAGTGAAGTACCTTAGATCTTGGATGCGATAGCTCTCTGTACGGCGGCCGGAGAGTGCGACAGGAAGGGAAGATGATTAACTGTAAGTATAATATTACAGGTCGGAAAAAACCTCGATATCAGCGGCGCACGCGAACACACATGGTTCCCTCTGTCGGTCTCTGCAAGGCGAAGGGATTTGACTGGCAGAAAAAACACCATGTTGTGGGGGGAGGGGAGCGGGTGGGCAGGCTGTGCGCGTGTGTAACCCAGACTGAGTAAGAAATGTCTGGGAATGTGAAAAAAAAACAAAACAAAAAATATGCGGTGGGAGAGAGAGAGGAGGCAAGAAGAGGATTAGGATAGACAAATAGTGAAAAACAAAAACAGCTGAGTAGACGTCGCTATCGGCAGCTGGACGGCACTGACCCGAGTTCTGTCACGGGGGGGGGAGAAGAATGAATCGGCCGGGCAGAATGTACACGCGCGTGAGTCCAGCGACGGGGCTGGGAATTCCTTTCGTCGACGAGATCGCGAGGGGCAAAGTAGGCAAGCCTGCTCCTCCATCAGGAGCACAGCGCGTGTTAATAAGACACACACACTCAGAAAGAGTAGGTAAAAAATAAAAGCTACCTTCTCGGTGTCACACAAAGAAAAATAGGAGTGGAGGAAAGCAAAATAAAACGGAACGATCCGCTTGCTGCAAATAAAAGACAGGGGAGTTGGGGATAAGGGGCAGAGGCAGGCAGCAATAAAAAGTATCAGTGGTCACAAATGCCTGTTCCATCTGGCTCTTTACAGAGAACTCACTTCGAGTAGGCATATATTATCAAAATAAATCCCCAGGACGGGAGGAAGGGCGAGGCGGAGGTACTTCTCGTTCAGACCAGCACAGAACTGGTCGTTGGAGACCATGTGCATATATATATATATGTGAGTGAGTGCATGTATATATGTACAGACGTCTGAATGTTTCTATGGTATGTGTGTATGCACGAGTCGGTGGTAGGCGGAGGTGGGGCACCGAGCGGAGGAATACCAGCAGGGCAAAGAGAATGGCAATAAGGAGTGTGCAGCAGCTGGCGGGTGAATAATAACAGCTTCCCATCCCTCCCCCCGGTCAATCAGCATCAGTACTCTGGGTGGCGGGAGGGGGGGGGTCGGGGGGCGGTGGTGGAGGGGCACGGCGCGCTGGGGGGGGCGGGAGATTAAAGTCAGAAGACGGCATCTGAGGGCTTCACACGACTGCTGCTACTTTGGGTGCTTGCCAGTAAGTAGGGAGGTTTGGCTAAAAGAAAGGCATTTTCGGTGAAAAACGCAGCCGGCGAAAAGGCGGGCGAGAAACGCAGACGGGGAAGAGGAACTAAAAAGGCGGGCGCGTGCGCACACATAGAGGAAGAGCTGAAACAGAGCTGCCGAATAGTAATGCGTGGAGGCGTAAGTCGACACAGAGACGCCGGTTCTCTACCACCCCTCTCTGCCTATTGTCAGGAATGTGTGAGAGAAGGGGTCAGCGAGTGGTGTACTCGTGCGACTGGGGGAGGCAGGGGGGGGGACAATTGTGGTTGGTCGCTGCTGCTGCTTTGTCACCGGGCGAAACTGGGCGCGTTGGCGGCGGCGGGGTTGGCGTGCGGTCCGGAGAGCTGTGGCGGGGGGCTGGCCTGCTGCATGTAGCCGGTGGAGGCAGCGGCAGGAGCTGCGCCTGCGCCGATGGATGAAGATGATGGGGTGGAGGAGGGAACCCCTTCGCCACCGGCAGTCCCTGCTGAGCACAGGGTGGGACCAGTCACGTCTGAGTCTATGGAGAAGGGCGTGAAACTCAAACCACGCATATGCTCCAGAGACTCTGCGTTGGAACCGTCGAAACAGAGGGTGGGAGTGGTGTTGAAGATGTTGCGCGGTAAACCGGCCGGACTGGGAGAGTCGCAGCCGTTGAGGAAGTTGCACATAAAGTACTGCGGCGGACGACTAGTGGGACCTAGGTGAGACGGGCAGGAGAAACACACGTTTTAGGAGGTACAAAAGTGGTTCGTACATCAGACGGAATACTGCAATTACCACCCCCCCCCCACCCTCAAAGGACTGAGAAACTCAGAGGGAAGGCAGCAATTACGCAATGCGTTGCAACTGGCTTCGTGTACTTCCAGGTCCTGTCAAGTTTGACGGCGGTTTAGGAACATCCACAGGTGGAGGTTCAACAAGACGCATCTATCGCACGCACATACGCAGTCGCTAAGATAAGACTGGTTTTCATAAGCGCTCCTCTTCTTCGTGCTGAAGGTAAGGATAGAGTGCCTTTTCAGACCTCCTCAATGTGCATCTGCGCCTTCACTTGCTCCTGTGGGGCAGGTTATATTGGTAGAACAATTAGGTGCCTATCTAGGCGGACGCGAGAGCATCATTCTGCCTGGCTAAATCAGGGTGCGAAAAAGTCTATCTCTAGCGCAATCCTGGCTAACTTGGTTGACAGCAACCACTGGGTAGTTGTTGACCCAGCATTCCGGGTCATCTGTAAGGTGTCGGCGAGACACTCCAAGTTGCTGCGTTAGGAAATACTGGCGACGGCAGAGGCAGTGGCTATACGGTTAGCAAACCCAAACCTGTGCTCACATAAAGCGTTTGTACAGGCGCTAAGGCTCCCCTGGGCAAAGACAAGCCTAGCATGCGTGTTCACACCCGCCACGTCGCGTTACAGCGATTAAACAGAGACCGCTATAATGGCCAGACATCATCCTGCTCCTCCTCTCCCACTCCCTAAGCCCCAGACAGAACTAGAATCTGACCACTGACCTCTGAACTTTTGCTACTTTGTCCTCCCTTATATTACTGTACAGGCTTGATGATGAATGAGCGAAAGCCTACGTTTGTCGGACGGAAACAGCGTCGGGTGCGGGCGTCTCCTGTTATGAATTAAGAGCGACTCGTGAGGACTATTCTTTAGTCCGAATCACACACCTTCCTGAGAACTGTGACCGACGCCGAGCTTCCACCTCCCCGTTAATGTTCTGAAAGCGGCTAGCGACATTGTCACCAAAGGTAGGCT